TGCCGCTTTAAGTGCTCTGGGGCCGGGAGGGGGGCAGAAGAGTTTCCCTTGGCCAGAGTGGCCACCAGGGAAACCTGGGGAGGGCTAGCTTCCCACTAGTTCGAATTAAGGGTCTACAAACTAGCTAGTTCGAACTAGGCTTAATCCTCGTGGAATGAGGATTACCTAGTTCGAACTAAGCGCTCCGTTAGTTCGAATTAAATTCGAACTAACGGAGCGCTAGTGTAGCGCCTATGAAAGTTAGTTCGAACTAACGTCCGTTAGTTCAAACTAACTTTGTAGTGTAGACATACCCTAACTGACCTCTATGCAACAGGTAACTAGCTAGTTCGAACTAGGCTTAATCCTCGTGGAATGAGGATTACCTAGTTCGAACTAAGCGCTCCGTTAGTTCGAATTAAATTCGAACTAACGGAGCGCTAGTGTAGCGCCTATGAAAGTTAGTTCGAACTAACGTCCGTTAGTTCAAACTAACTTTGTAGTGTAGACATACCCTAACTGACCTCTATGCAACAGGTTGATAAACAGGTATTAGCTGCCAAACCTTGCACAGCTATCAACTTTCTTTTTTACACAACCAGTACTTTTCAAAATGTGCAAAATCACGCCCAAACAAACCCAACTTATTTATCTGCAAGCCAGACTTTAACTGAATCTGCACCTTTGAATACACTCTCATATATACCCAAGACAAACATTTCCAACTACTCCAAGAAATCCCTATTTTTCATCATCCATATAGTCGCTAATTCAGGTGAAAATCTCAGAACTAAAACTGCATGAGCAAACACAAAAGTGGGTTGTACCCACAAAAGCTCATGAGATCATCATCTTACTTTTTTTAGTCTCTAAAGTATGGCAGGACTATTCATTGTCTTTTTCAGTTACAGACTAACATGGTGACCCCTCAAACTGTTTAAAGGGAGTTACACTTGATGGTAAAGAAATCATATCTCCCTGGACTTCTGAGCAACAGGAAGAATTTCAGCATTAACTTGTCTCTTTTGAGAGGTCTTTCTGGAAAAGACACTGGATTGCAAATATTACAAATTTCAAGAAATCAAACAGGGCACAACAACAAAGTCAAAACACAAATAGAAAAAAAATCCATAGATTATAAATAAAAAGGGGAAGAGGGAATCAAACCATTTAAATAAGAAAATCTCAGAGTATCAAACAAAATCCAAGTAAATTCCTATAATACTGGCAGGAAATAATGTCACTCTGAAATCCTAATAATTTTTAACTCTTATTTCTTCAAGCCAAATCTGATATCATCCACCTATTCTGTTTGCCCAGTAAACTGACCGTTGAGTATACTTTAAGTCTTTAAGCTTCCCCCCCCCTCCCAGGGACACCAAAATGTATTAATATACATGAAATGTTAGCCCGAAGAGTTAAAGGTATTAACATGACTCTGAAACTGTCCAACATTAAATCATTTTAAAGAACGTTTGGCATGTTATATAGAGACTTAGTTACAAATTTGCCATGAAACTAACAAACTTAAGATACATGAACAAAAAGAAGTGAACACAAGCTATAAATCAGTTTAAATGTTAAACTAATTATGCAAAGCAAACAATCAAAGTCCCTGTTGAAGGGACGCTGTCAGAGTCCCTCATTTAGAAACCTCCAACTCTGTGAGAAGAGGCTGACCCTCATCTTTGTTTACATCTGTTCCATGATACCAGGTCCACTGTTCTATGGTTCTATCTGCAGATCTCCATCTTCCTCAGCATCTTGGATCCTCACAAGTGTATTGTCCTGGGTGGAAAATTTTAGCCCTGCCCTAGACATGCGGGACTGCCTTGGGAAAGAGAAGTGTCAGGCCATTGACCGTCACTCTCTGGTGGACGTCTGCCAGGAACAGCATCCAGACAACTCTATTACCTTTACCTCTGTCCACGTGGAGTACACTTGGTTGTGCCATTCCCAGCTGAACTGCTTTTATGTTTCCAAGTTTAACATCTTACAGGCCCACTCCTTCAGCATCAGGCCTGCACTATGCTCAGACCACCTGGTGACCATGGTCTCATTGGTACTTGAGAGGCATTTCAGTAACAGCCTGTTGGATGTGGGCTTCATGGCATCCTTCTA